AAGCCAACACAGGATCAGATGCAGCCCAGGAGTCACCAGTTAGCAGTGTGATTCCCTCCTCCATAAGAGACAGACAAGGGTTCAGGGGCTTAAATAAGCAATAAAACAAAGGTAATCCGTCTGGCAGAAAGAGAGGAGTGTGTTATAAGGTTGGGTTAGTGTGATGGATGGAGAATACTAGTCTCAACAAGACAAGGCCAGTAAAAGGACTGAAAGTGCCTAAATTACTATTAAAAACTTAAGCTCAGCCCTAGCTGGTTTGGCTCAGTGGATAGAGCGTCGGCCTGGGGACTGAAGGGTCCCGGGTTCGATTCTGGTCAAGGGCACATCCCTGGGTTGTGGACTCGATCCCCAGTAGGGGGCATGAAGGAGGCAGGCAATCGATGATTCTCTCTCACCATTGATGTTTCTATCTCTCTCTCCCTTCCTCTCTGAAATCAATAAAAATATATTTAGAAAAAACTTAAGCTCAGCTATACTACTCACGTCCCATCATTTAATAAGTACAAAGAGCACACAAAAATTTCCTTTCCTTAATTTTGAAATGTGTCATTCTCAAAAGGGAGCCATTTTCGATTAAGTTTTAAAAGAATACAGGAAGCAGAAAGACTGTAAGAACAATTTCCCTATTAAGATTTTAACTTTCGCCCTGACTGGTTTGGCTCAGTGGATAGAGCGTCAGCCTGTGGACAAAAGGTCCCAGGTTCGATTCCGGTGAAGGGCATGTGCCTTGGTTATGGGCACATCCCCGGTGGGAGGTGTGCAGGAGACAGCTGATCGATGTTTCTCTCTCATCGATGTTTCTAGCTCTCTGTCCCTCTCCCTTCCTCTCTGTAAGAAACCAATAAAATATATTTTAAAAAAAAAGAAAAAGATTTTAACTTTCTCTTCATGACAAAGACCAAAATTTCCTCATAAAGCCATCTGCCCCAGGGGTTAGTGAGAAAAACTACTGAGAAACATCTCCCACCTTCCATTTTGCAAGCAACTCCTAGTTATCTCATCCTTAGTAAAACATCATCTTTCCTTATTAATTTAAAGAGGAGAGTTATATTTTGCCAGTATTACCTGAAGTTTCTATAGATTCTTTCAAGATATTTTAAAGACGCAAATTATACTATAGCCCACAATACAACAGGATCTAGGTTGATTGGCTATTCAAGCCAACCCACATTAAGTGACTATATCAGCTGTTGTCACATTCATCCTAGTTCTACCACTTAGTAGCACTTACAGCAGTATGTGGCGTGCACTATTCTAAATACGTACTCATCTACATTAACTGAGAATCATCACAACCACCCTATTAAAGTGCTATTTCTATCCCCATTTTATAGTTGAACGAACTAAATGAAGAGGGTAAGTGATCTTCCCAAGTACACACTGTTGTAAGCAGCAGAGCCAGGATATGAATCTAAGCAGTAATCCCCGCCAGGTTCCTAACTACTGCCTCTCCTCATCCTCTCCCCCACCCTGCTTCCCCCCTAAGGGAGCAGAGCAGCTGTCCACATGTTCTTTTCTGAATTCCATGGATGTAGACAGGCTTCCCAATTCATGATTTTTCTTGTTTGCAAAAGATAATAAGCACCCTATTATCAAGCATATCAATATTTCACTAGTGAAATGAAGAACCACACTAAATGGGACAAACAGATCTAATAGCCTCACATAATTTCAGGTCATGATAGGTTTTGCCACCAAAAAAGTAACAAAAATTTCAGTTTTCAGAGCTTTAGGATGTTAATTGCAGTTAAGTAACTTGATAGAATTGTCACCAAAATTAAAGAATATACTTAATAGCTTACTACAGGGCCTACTACACAGTAAGTAGGCACAATATATAAGAACTATACTATATTAAAATTAAAATGTATTAAATTTTATTAATTGTAAGTAAATGGATGATGTTCTTAGTTAAAAGCCCCAGGTATTACGAGGACAATCTGCAAGGTCTATGAGCACTACAATAGGTGAGAAGGGAGGATGACTTTAGCAACATAAAAACAAAGCATACACCAATTATGAACAAAATACCAGGTAATACCTTTTTAAATTAATGGGTGGGGAAGGCAGCAGCATAAAGGTCTTATAGAACATCTCTCTAACCATAAAAATTTACTCAATCTTTTAAAAAGTCTATTCAATCCTCTTATAAAATCACATGTAGCTTTGGAAGGTGGGGGAAAAGAAGTTAAACTCTAATAATTTAGATTTCAAGCTCCCAATCTTGTACCTTCTAATGATCCTCTTAAAAAATTTACCTTGATGGTGTGTGTCTGTGTGTGTGTGTGATTGAGAAAAAAAAATAAAAATGTACCTTGATAATTAATGGAAACTATAGAGAAAAACACTTATGCTTCAGTGAAAGCAAAAATAGTAATAACATCTGTATAGTGTTCAAATCATAACAAGTTATTAAATAACCACACAAAAATGGTAATGGCCACAAAAATAGCAAAATATATTTCTCAGAGCAGACACATCTTGACTCACATTTTTGTATATCACTTATTGCAGCAGTTCTCAACCTGTGGGTTGCGACCCCTTTGGGGGTCAAATGACCCTTTCACAGGGGTCGCCTAAGACCATCGGAAAACACATATATAATTACATATTGTTTTTGTGATTAATCACTATGCTTTAATTATGTTCAATTTGTAACAATGAAAATACATCCTGCATATCAGATATTTACATTATGATTCATAACAGTAGCAAAATTATAGTTATGAAGTAGCAACGAAAATAATTTTATGGTTGGGGGGTCACCACAACATAAGGAACTCTATTAAAGGGTCGCAGCATTAGGAAGGTTGAGAACCACTGACTTAGAGCAACATACTTGACTTTTTCCCAGAAATACTAAAGGACCTATTTAATTATTAATGTAAATACTCAACACAGTTTTCAAACACTTGGTCCTGGCTCTAAGATACTATTACAAGCAGTTTTAAGTTTCCTATGTTTCCATTATGATTTTTATGTACTTTCAGTATTTCTTTTGTTATGTCCAGTAGGGACAATCACACAACAGTCTAAGTACGTCAACAGATGAACTTTTTAAAAAATGGAATGTAATCCATTTATATCCCTATTCCTATCCTATATAATAAAAGGGTAATATGCAAATTGACCCTAACAGCAGAAGGACTGGGAATCACTGGTCACTATGACACACACTGACCACCAGGGGGCAGACGCTCAATGCAGGAGCTGCTCCCTGGTGGTCAGTGTGCTCCCACAGGGGGAGCTCTGCTCAGCCACAAGCCAGGCTGCCAGCTGCCAGTACAGCGGTGGTGGTGGGAGCCTCTCCGGCCTCCTCAGCAGCGCTAAGAATGTCCGACTGCAGCTATGCCTGCTCCCCGCTGGCAAGTGGACATCCCCCAAGGGCTCCCGGGCTGCCAGAGGGATGTCTGACTGCCAGCTCAGGCCCAATCCCCCGGGGAGCAGGCCTAAGCCAGCAGGTGGTCATTCCCCGAGGGGTCCCAGAGTGCGAGAGGGCACAGGCCCGGCTGAGGGCCCCTCCCGAGTGCACAAATTTTTGTGCACCGGGCCTCTAGTTTTACAATAAACAGGTTTTCCAGCAACTTACTGTATGTCAGTCTTTAAAATCCTTTTTTAATGCAATCATCCAACACTTAAATTCTGATCTTGTGCTCTAGGAGCTCCAAATCTGACTGCTCTCAAAAACAAGTGGGACTCCACTGTTGCCAGGGCCAGGCCAACCAAGGCAAAATGAAGGATACCTAATCTAAGATCCAGGACCATATATGAAGAAGAAACGCCATTTCCAAAATGCCCAAAGAGGTCACTAAATTGAACTAAAGAGCAATTCACATCTTCAAAGCAGTGGCTGTTCCCTGGTTCAGTGAGGAACAGGGAGGTCTATCATTTCTACCTACCAAAGTAACAGCCCCACCAAAATCATAAGCTAAAATGGTCGTGATAAAATATAGTTAAATGTATTAGAACAGGATTGTTTTCAAACCTTAGAGAACAGTCTATCATTCAAAATATCACTGTCAATACACCTACTAATATCTGTCATCTATATTTTAGGCAATTTATTTAAATCTCCCTTTATCTGTGAAATGAGATTAGAATTTAACTTCATTGGATGTTCCAGAGTAAAATGAAACAATGTATACAAAGTGCTTGGCACAATGCCTGCATAAGAGTGGGAAATAGAGCCCTAACCCGGTGGCTCAGTTGGTTGGAGCATCTGGTACACCAAAAGGTTTTAAGTTGGATTCCTGGTCAGGGAACATACTCAAACTGCAGGTTCCATCCCCTCATAACCATCATGAGGTGCATAAGAGAGGCAGCCAGCCAATCAATGTTTCTCTCTCACAATCAATGTTTTTTTCTCTTAAATCAATGAAAACATAACTCTGTGTGAGGATTAAAAAATAAAATAAAAAGAGTGGAAAATACATAGTAGCTACTATTAATTACAGAAAGTAAAGCTTGGCAACCTTCTTAGATGTTGGGAATATGCAGAAAAGTATAATCAATTATTCTAAGAGGTCCAAAGTTTTCAAAAGCTGAAATACACTATTCTGCAGTAAAGTGACCATACAAAATTGGACCAAAGGTAAAGAGGTAAAAATTATAGTCTCCCGAAATTTCTAGTGGGCAACCAGACTTAAACTATTTGCAAGTTTAGTTACCAGTTCTGTAATAAGGATTTACATCTGCCACCTAAGTGGCCCATCCCCAAATGTATTGCTTTTTTGTAATTACATCCATTTGAAATTAACCAGTAACTTTTAAAACAGGTTTAACAATTTATCATTCTACTATTTTGGCAAAACAATCCCTCACCCCCTAAAAAAATTATCTCCAAATATGGTCTGAGAATCACCTTGTTAAAAATGCAAAGTGATGGAGAGGAGCTCAGAAATCTTATGTACATTTGCTTTGAGGCCCACTGCCCAAAAGTGTTTAGCAAAAGCATTCTATATTAAATCCACCCAGAGTGTAACTTAACCTCCACTCACTGTCTTGCAAGATCTGTCACTAGGGCAAGCTGTGTTCTTCTGGTAATGTGTGCCTAAATTAGTTTGGGAATTTAAGGAGAACAGGGCGAATAAGTATAAAGAAATAAGGATATGCTTTATAGGCACAAATAAACCACTAAGGACATCTTTCATTCTCTATCAATGTGAAAATAACTGTCCTAACAGAGAAGATGAGCACATGCTACAACAACCTTTTTAAAAGCCCCACACAGAAAAGTTTAATCTTAGGAAGATTAAACTTAGTTGCATCAAGAGCACAATACACAGTGAAGTATGGTCTTATTTACACACAAAAAAGGTTGAAAATTAACCTCATTAAAAATCCCAAGTCCAATAAAACATGCCTGGCACAGTTGGTATATAACACATCTTGTTATCCAGTTTATAAGGTTTAGTTATAAAATTTAATGCCATGATATTACAGGATTCTTTACACTCCGATTCAAACTAGGCTTTTAATATCCAACAACTAATCACTTCCAAAAAATCATTTCAGTCCAACATGCAATCGAAGTGCTAGCTCCCTCTCAATACAGTACATGTATACTAGCATGGTACTAAGTGTCCCTACAGCTGTCTGGGCCAGAAAGTGATCAGCACTTTCCTCCATGCTATTTTACTGTGTGAGGCCTTTCTCAACACCTCGGGATATGAGCAGAATAATCACCAACAAATATTTAAGTGTTTCAAATATGTACAACTCCACATAACCATTCAAGCATACTACTTGAGGGCCTAAATTCTCAACCTGGATGCTTAGCATAAGCTACTGACACCACTACTCACTGCTTCACCAGAATGGCTGTATATTTTTCCCACCAAAAGTAGGGCTATTGCACCATAGGTTTCATGGTCTCTGTAAAGAAAAAAAATCATTGTCTTGGTTTATATTTTCTTAAATAACAAGTAAATTTTCTACAAATTGCTTTAAGAACTTAGAGAAATCTGAAGTTTTCTAAAGAAATTACTTCCAATTCTTTTTTTATGCAACAAAATACCACATACACACACAAAAAGTCAACATTTGTAAAATGTTGTGATCTTCCAGTTCTGAACTACAACCTTTAATAAACATGTATCACAAAATTAAAATACACAAGGATTTTTAAGCATTAGCATTTATTTCATGATTTCTTAATTTATGTCAGGTCCAAAAAATGGAATTCAGAAAGATTTTTCAGGATTTCATATAATTATTTTATAATTATTTTTAAGATATGGAAAACAGTACTAAACAATTTAAATGATCCCTCTGCATAGACAGAAACCATAGGTTCCAGGAAAATACTGTCCCTGTTGAGAAGGCTGAGAAAACTCTTGCCTTTGCAGATAATCTTGACTGGTTAAATTTTTTGTTTGGAATTACTGAAGTTGGAGGTGTATTTAAGGGATAGGTCTAAAAGTTTGCCAGTAGACAAGAGACTTCCACATCATTTCTAATGACTCAAAACAAGGGTTTCAAAAGTGACCCTCCCAGGACTGTAGTTGTCCCTTCAGTTCGCTCCTGAGGGAAAAGAACTATTTTAAAAATGTTATGGGAATGCATCGGAAAAAAAATTCAGAATATGGAAAATTCTACCAAACTATGATTTAACAAAAAAAACTACAACTGAATAAAAGTAGTGACAGAACTGCAGAAGAAAAATCTTATGAAACTTACCAACCAATTGCAATGTATAAACTTTACTTAGATCCTGATGTAAACAAAACAGATGTTGACTGAGATGTTAATTTTAAGACTTATCTGTGAAATTATAACCCTAACTGGATATGATACAAAGGAATTGCTGTTATTTTAGGTGTGGTAATAGCAGTACAGTTTCAGTTTTTAAAGTCTTTATCTTTTTGGAGATCTATACTGAAATATTTATAGTCAAGTGGTATGTTTAGGATTTCTTCAAAATAATCCAGGAGTGGACATATGATGACACAAGTTTGGCTAATGGTTGAAAAATATCGAAGTTGCCAGAACCGGTTTGGCTCAGTGGACAGAGTGTCAGCTTGCGGACTCAAGGGTCCCGAGTTCGATTCCGGTCAAGGGCATGTATCTTGGTTTCGGGCGCATCCCCAGTGGGGAGCGTGCAGGAGGCAGCTGATCGATGTTTCTCTCTCATCAATGTTTCTGGCTCTCTATCCCTCTCCTTTCCTCTCTGTAAAAAATCAATAAAATATATTTAAAAAAAAAAAAAAAGAAAAGAAAAATATCGAAGCAAGGGTAATACAGTGGGGCCTTGACTTACGAGTTTAATTCGTTCCATGACGGAGCTCGTTACTCGTATGTCAAATCTTAAAGTGAACGAGTGAGACACGTGATGTTGGGCTGATGTTGTGGCGTTCACTGTGATGGTCGCTGCGCCAACTAGTGGTGGGGTATCTGAAGCTGGCTCGTAACCCGAATTTTAGCTCGCAACTCAAAGCAAAAAACCGGCCGAGAGACGGCTCGTATTTCGAAAAACTCGTTAGTCGGGACACTCGTAAGTCAAGGCCCCACTGTACATACATGGAGGTTAATTTCCCATAATAAAAAATTAAAAATTATGGTACAATCACTAATTTAATATCCTAAAATAACCATTAAGACAGTTTAGCAACTTGAATGCTTAATATAGAATGCTAAATGCTAAATGATATCCTGTCAAAATTTCAAAAGCATAAAATAAAATATGTCCTGGAAAAAAATTTTTTTTAAAGTGTAATGTTAAGGAAGAAAAGGAAATACAAAAACCAAATTAAATTTGTGGGTTAGTTGATTATTTTTATCTGCTAGTATTACACTACTGACATTAGAAATTGCTAATGAATTCAAAAGTAGTCAAATAATTTAATCTACCTAAGAAGGCTGGGTATAAAACAGTGAAGGAGCCTAGAGTAAACTAGAGAATGCATGCCTCACCTTAAAGGCATTTATAAAGTTTCAAATAAATACTATGATACATAAAATCTGTTCTAACCAGATATTCAAATACCCTTACTTTTAGGGTCACTTATTGGCCAAAGCAACCTACATTGAAAAACGAAAGGAGGAAGAAGTATCAATCCAGGATGAGACAGGAAAACCAGACCACTGGTCACCCTATTCACTTCACACACACACACATAAACTGAGGCATAAAGTTTGTTTGCTTGTTTGTGCTTAAGTAAACTGCCAAAAGTCAAAATGATTTAGCCTCAGAAGAACTGGAGACTAGAGCCCAGAGAGGCAGATTTGCCCAAAGTCACAGTGTTAACTGGAGGCCAACACTAGAACCCAAGAAGCCTGACACTGTCCAGATTGAGCTACTACTTACTACCACTTTCTTTTCTTTTCTTTCAGTTTAATTACGTGTGTCCTGCTCATTTGTCCATAAAGAGATTCTCCCCAAAAATGTGTTCTTCAATCTACTCTAAAAATCAGACCAAAAAATAATATAATACAATGACAGGAAAGGGAAGAATGTCAAATGCTTAACAAAAGGAGACTCTTTATCAATCCATGTGTATGTGAAATCCTGTACTCTACGATCACTTTCTATATGGTATACAACTCTTGCAACTTTAAAAGACATTTCTGTACCATGCATAATATTAGAATAATTAATAAAAGCAATAACTGGCCCTTTTTTTAGACCGAAGAAAAGCACATACATTGATGCACTTAGTAGTCTCCCAAATGTTAATTTTTTCCTACCTACCTCACTGTACAGGTAAGAACCAAAACTTCAGAGCATACTCTGCATCCCAATATACAGCTAAGAAAATGGGGAATCTCCAGGCAGAAGACTCCATGGCTATTAGCTGACTAAAGAATCTGCTTGGCCCTGCCGGCATGGCTCAGTGGTTGAGCACAGACCTATGAACCAAGAGGTCAGGGTTTGATTCCCGGTCAGGGCACATGCAGGAGGCACCCGAAGAATTCTTCTCTCATCATTTATGCTTCTATCTCTTCCTCTCCCTTCCTCACTGAAATCAATAAAAACATATTTTTTAAAAAATTAAGAATCTGCCCTGACTGGTTTGGCTCGGTGGATAGAGCGTCGGCCTGCGGACTCAAGGGTCCCAGGTTCAATTCAGGTCAAGGGCATGTACCTTGGTTGAGGGCACATCCCCAGTAGGGGGCGTGCAGGAGGCAGCTGATGGATGCTTCTCACAGATGTTTCTAGCTCTCTATCCCTCTCCCTTCCTCTCTGTAAAAAAAATCAATATATTTTTTTTTTTAATTAAGAATCTACTTGGCTGTAACAACCATAGTCTATGGATTACCCATACTGCTACTGAAATCAAGATAAGTACTAAATTTCAGAAATATACAATTCTTTACTTATTACTTAAAAGAAAATTTGCCAGCCCAACTAACTTTTTAACATGGAAGTAGAAGTTAGGCTTTTTAGATCCATTTATAAGCTAAATGACTAGTAAAATTAAATGAACCTCAATTTTCTCCTATATAAATGAAAGTTATAAAGGCTAAATAAAGTATGTGATACAATGCCGGATACATAATAGGCACTAAATAGGAAGCTCTTATTTATACCTAAAGGTTTAACTCAATGGCCAATTCGAAAAGGACACAAACTGTTTTTAAAGCAACTGATAACTACGGTCATGGTCTTGGTAGTCTTTATAGGGTATCTCGTGGATCATCAGCTAACCCTGAAAGTGCCTGTGAAAGTACTCAATCACCTTGGCTGGTGTGGCTGGTGGAGGGTTTTGTCCTCAGTTTGTAAAAATCACACTACCTGTGAAGTGCAATGAAGGAGGAATACCTGGGAGGGTGTCTTACACACAGATGCACTCAATAAATATTGTTGAATGAAAAGTTGATGTTTCCCTTAATGGCTTTTTAAAAAAATACTTTAAGATTATCCTTTTACATTTTCACTTCAAAAACATTAAAGTGTAAAAGGTTAATAATAAAAACAGCTTCCCCAACAAAAGAAACTGCTGCTTATAAGAAGCACTAATTAGCAAAATACACCAAAACTCAAAAAATAAATTGCAATTCTCTACCAAAGAAATTTTAAAAAGTAAAATACAATGAGCACCTAAAAAAAGGAAAGCACTAACCATTCCATTTCCAGAAACAACTTACCTTGTCACACCTTCCTTTTGCAGATTTGAAATCCAGATTCTCACACAATCACCGGCCTTCACTTCTGTTTGATTCAATAGCATACACACTACTGAGTCTCTTTTGCTATTAAATACATCAGTAGAAAGCACACTAGTCTTATTTTGCTTCCTAACTATGAAAACCAAAGTGCAAAAGTCCTAAAGTCAAAATTACAAAAAAAAAAAACTTACAAAACTTGAGACTAAACAACGTGCAGAAATAATTGTAAAGACTCCCCATTTTTTCAAAGAAACTGTAAAGGCTCCCCAGTTTTCGCCAAAATAACTGTAAAGGCTCCACATTTTTCGCTCCAAACATCATACTGTACTTCGAAATGTATTTTAAATAGATTTTTTCCCCCGCAAATGGGAAAGGACTCTTGCACCTTAATGGGAGGGCCAAGGAGTTAAAAGTAAAACATACTAAAATAAGCCATTTCCAAACAGGTGAGATACCATCCGTGTGTGTGCTGTTGCAGGAAACAGAATGGAGAGCCGTGAATGGGAGTCTGCACTTCACATCTGCAAAAGAAGAGTAAAAAGGTTAACTTAACTCTAGACTTTCTTCTTTACCTACTTAAAAGCAATGCTCATAAATATTTTAAATCAAAAGATGAAAATGTGTTGGATAAGACAGAGACTTGTGGGTGAGCTTGTTTAATACATAAACTGTATCTACAGTATTAGAAGTCCGTAAGCGAACACATATCACACCACCTTGATATTCAAGGTTTTTAAAAAACCCAATCTCTTCTTTAGACTTTCCTTAACACGATCATCATAATGAGCCAAATGTGTTTCCTGTTGAACAATTATCTAAGGAGAATTAGTTCTAACTGTAAGAATAACCGTCAAACGGCTCATTTTAAATGCATCCTCTTCCCCATAGGGAGTGACAGGTAACCTTCTGGGAATCCCGATGCGCACACCCCTTCCTCCACCCTGATCAAAGTTACAGGCTAATTGGCGAACAGAAGTGCCTCCCGAGCAATCTCCGGGCCCAGCACCCGGTTCTCGGCAAAAGCCCTTTGCATTCTGCATGAACGCAGACCCCCGCCCTAGAGTGGCTGAGCCGCGCGAATGGAGGCTGGGGGTGGTGGGTAGGATCTGCAGACCCATCCGCACCCTGCGCCCCCCACCTGGTGGCACACCTGCCCTCGCAGGCGCTCACCTGGGGCAGGGACCGCCCTC